TATTATTATGCCCTTAACAATAGGACGGCTCCTTCGCCAGTTTGTCAAGGATATAGTAATTTGAATTCTTCATTAATCAATCCAGAACCTCAACCAAGTATCAATACACCAAGTATTGTTGATAATCAAAATACACAACAACGCAGTAGCCACACTTTGGCATCATCTTCAGTCCAAATTGATAATATTCAACCATGCAATCAAGATGCAAATACTAGCTATAACTTGTCCTGCGCAAATTTTAATAAACCCAATCAGTATGTTTTATTAGCTACAGCTATGGTTTATGTATATGACAGAAATCAGATGCCTATTTTATGTAAAGCTCTTTTGGATGGAGGTTCTCAATCCAATTTCATTTCGCTTAATTTATTCAATAAATTAGGGCTCGATTCCGAAAAAATCAATATTCCAATATGCGGAATTAATCAAAAAACAAGCTTCATAACTAAACGTATTACCCTTAATGCTACATCCATTCACAAACAATATAATTTTAAAATGTCTTCTCTTGTTATTGAAAAAATAACCGAGCCTCTTCCTCAACGACGCGTTGATATTACTTCAATCAATATACCTGTAGATATTCAACTTGCTGATCCAAATTTTAACGAACCTTCAGACATTGATTTACTCCTAGGAGCTGGTCTATTTTATGAGATATTATGCTCAGGACAAATCAGACAAGGGAAAAATAATCCTATTTTTCAACAAACTAAACTTGGTTGGATAATTTCCGGTCCTATCCAATTGTTAAACCCAAATCACGATCATATTAATTGTTGTTTTAACCAGTTGATAACCAATAACGATTTATATGAGAAACTGGAAACTTTTTGGAAAATTGAAGAGCTCCCAGAAAATCCAAAAATTAAACTTTCTATAGAAGAACTTGAATGCGAATCAAATTTCCAAGAAACCCATGTCCGTCTACCGTCAGGCAGATTTCAAGTTGATCTGCCATTAAAGCAAAATTTTAATAAATTGGGAAATTCTAGCGAATTAGCCAAAAAGCGATTTTTAGCCATAGAGAGAAAGTTTGATAGAAATAGCGATTTTAAGATGGCTTATTCCGATTTCATTCATGAATACATTAATCTAGGTCATATGTCAAAAGTGGATCCCCACAAAGTACCTATTTACCCAGTTTTCTATCTCCCTCACCATGCTGTCGAAAAGGCTGATAGCCTAACGACAAAGCTAAGGGTTGTGTTTGACGCTTCTGCGAAATCATCATCTGGTTTATCGCTAAATGACGTACTCAAAGTCGGCCCTACAATTCAAAATGACCTTTTTTCTATTCTCATACGTTTTCGATGACACAATTTCGCGCTCACAGGCGATATTGCCAAAATGTACCGTCAAGTACTCATAAATCCTTCTCAAAGGAGTCTGCAGCGGATAGTTTGGCGAGATAACAGGGAAGACGAGCTTAGTCATTTCGAGTTAAATACTATAACATATGGCACATCCAGTGCTGCTTTTCTTTCAACTAGATGTCTAAAACAAATTACAACTGAATGCACTTCACAATTTCCCATAGAAAGTCAAATAATCTGCAATGACTGTTATGTTGATGACGTAATAACAGGCGCTAATTCTATCGATGAGCTTATAGTCATAAGACAGAACTTATCGTCCATCTTCAAGGATTACGGGTTTGAACTCAGAAAATTTGCTTCAAATAATCCTAATGTTTTATCAGGGCTATCTAATGACAATTCCACTGAATATGTAATAAACGATTCTCAATCAACCAAAATTTTAGGAATTTCTTGGAATTCAGAAAGTGATAATTTTATTTACAGCTCCAAAAACATATCCACAGAACAACCTGTTACAAAACGTTTTATACTCTCTACTATTTCTCAGATTTTTGATCCACTGGGTCTTCTGGGTCCAATAGTTGTTCAAGTAAAAATATTGCTTCAAAAGCTGTGGCTTTTGAAGATCGCCTGGGATGAACCCATACCTAATGATCTTTGTCGAGTTTGGATTCATTTTGTCCAGCAATTATCTGATGTGATTTCTTTGAAAATATCCAGACAAGTTACTTCAAAAAATCCAAAAAACATCCAAATACACGGATTCTGCGATTCTTCTATTAATGCCTATGGCGCATGCATTTATATAAGATGTGAGGATTTTCATGATAGTATAACTGTCAACTTACTTTCAGCAAAATCTCGTGTAGCCCCCCTTAAAGTGATATCTCTGCCTCGACTCGAATTATGTGGCGCATTATTGTTAACCAAATTAATTAAAAACATTTGTGCTATTTTGGACTTACCAATTAATCAAATTTTTTATTGGACGGATTCAACAATAGTGCTTTCTTGGCTTTGTTTGGAGCCTCGTTATTTAAAAACATTTGTGGGCAATAGGATATCAGAAATCCAATCACTTTCTGACATCAACAATTGGCACCATATTAAATCTTTCCACAACCCCGCTGATTTGATTTCCAGAGGTATTAATCCTCCCGAATTAAGAGTCAATAAACTATGGTGGCACGGCCCTGAATTCCTATCAAAATATTCTGAAGCGTGGCCTTCGAAAACTCACATTTCTAACTGGGCTCGTCAATGTAACGTATCCGAAATGCCGGAAGTTAATCCCAAATCTGTTATGTCATTCCTTGCAGGAAATCATTCAAATGATTTTGATGAAATATTTTATAAATTTTCTAGCTATAATAAACTTTTGCATGTAATAGCGTACTGTTTTGAGATTTTCGAAAAATAGCCGGTCTTTTACAAAACAACGAGCCGTCGGACCGCTGTGTCAAACCGAAATATCTGCCAGTCTAAAATCTATTGTAAAATTAGTGCAAGCGAAAGCATTTCCTGAAGATATTTATAATCTAAAATTCCGTAACTCTATAAAGGAAAACAGTAATTTAAGTTCATTAAACCCTTTTATTGACGACTTTGGCATTTTGCGAGTCGGAGGGCGTTTGAAAAATGCACAATTGAGTTTCGAACAGAAACATCCCATATTACTTCCTCATAACCATCCATTAACAAAATTGATCATTACTTATGACCACAATAGAAACTTGCACTCTGGAACCCATGCCACACTATCATTTGTTCGACAACAATTCTGGCCTTTAAATGGAAAATCCTTGGTAAAAAGGGTCATCAGGTCTTGTATTCCCTGCTTCAAGGCCAATCCCAAATCAATAATTGCACAAATGGGAGATTTACCAAGCTCAAGGGTCACTCCATTTCATCCCTTTTTCAACACTGGTGTAGATTACGCCGGTCCATTTTTGCTTAAAGATTCCAAGTTCAGAAATAAAAAAATTCTTAAATGCTATTTATGCATTTTTGTTTGTTTATCAACCAAGGCAATTCACTTAGAATTAGCTACTGAACTTAGTACTGCTTCTTTTATTTCTGCTTTAAAACGATTTACCGCTCGACGTGGTTTATGTCACAATCTCCATTCTGATAATGGCTCGAATTTTATAGGAGCAAAAAATGAGTTTGCTGCAATTTATGCTGTTCTTAAAGATAGCAAGTTTCAGGACTTTCTTATTCAGAATACAATTCAATGGCATTTTATACCTGCGCGATCACCCCATTTTGGAGGAATATGGGAATCGGCTGTAAGGTCTACCAAGCAGCATCTATAGCGAATCCTCAATGACGTTCCGCTCACCTTCGAAGAATTTTATACACTCCTGGTTCAAGTGGAATCGGTTTTAAATTCTCGACCATTAACCCCACTGACTGATGATCCCAATGATTTAGAAGTACTCACTCCGGGTCATTTTTTAATTGGCCGTCCGATAAATGCTGTACCCGAATTAGACATTTCCCAAGTACCCATGAATCACTTATCCAGATATGCGCATGTTCAAAAAATGACGTAAAGTTTCTGGACACGGTGGTCAACAGACTATCTACACACATTGCACCAGCGGAACAAATGGAAGTTTCATCAACATCAAAATGACCTGCTAGGTTCTCTAGTGCTCCTAAAAGAAGATGGTCTGCCTTCATTGCAATGGCATCGAGGGCGTATAGTGGACCTTCATCCAGGTAGTGACGGTGTGGTGAGAGTAGTTAGTGTTCTAACAAAAAACGGCGTCACTAAACGAGCCATTGTGAAAATATGTTTACTTCCGAAGGACGATTTAAATTATTGATTTTCTTGTTTTTTAATTATCTTTTTACCATTTATATTTTTATATACAACTCAATTTACCCAGTATCTGCAAATTTTATAATTAACTTTTCCCGTTTTATTGTATACCTATCTTTAATGTTAATGATATTGAAAGCATTCAGTTGGATACTTTCAAGGGCGGCGGTATGTTTGCATTTTTTTTAAATAATAAACAGCCTTTATCAAATTGAGTAGGCAGAATGAGAAACAATCGGAAAAATAATGCATAACAACCCGTTGTTGATAGAGTTGTCATTCAAGTTTTAAAAAAGTTAGTCACGATTTTTTAATTGTATAAAAATACCTACATAGATCAATCACTCAGAGCTGGGTCTATTCAATTAATAAACACTAGACGTAACATTGGTCCAAGTGTTTCCATTCAAGGATATCATCGCTGATATCCCGTAGCAGCACCGCCAAGCAGCGCAATACCGAGAAGGTACCTATTCTTCAAGGTTGCGACAAAATTGGGCACCCCGCCCTCGTTAAAATTTGGATCAGCAAGTTGAATATCTACAGGTATATTGATTGAAGTAATATCAACGCGTCGTTGAGGAAGAGGCTCGGTTATTTTTTCAATAACAAGAGAAGACATTTTAAAATAATAAGGCAAATAAGCTCAATAAAATATAAAATCGATTTTGCAAAGTTCAGGTTTTGCCGGATATTTCCATTAGATAGAAGTAAGCCCACCTACTACAATGTCTGCACAAAATAAAAAAACTCAAACTACTCCCAAACCCTCAAACCCTCCTAAAACTTCAAGTATTGCCAAAACTAAGCCCCCGACTAATCCAGATGTAGCCAAAGCCCAGAAGAAAATGGAAGAAGTCCTAATAACCATCAACAGAGATTTCATCAGTCTACAAGATGAAGAGTTGAAATACAATAACATACTGCTAAGATCAACTCTGGACAGTCTTATATTGATAATGCAAAAAGAAGATCCCCTTTTCAAAACCCTCTTCGAAAGACTATTTTACGGAGGAAGCTTCTACGACAACCTAAAAGTTCAAAATCCTAACGAATTTGATATTCATTTGCTCATGGTTTTGCCTTCATGCGAAATCCACAAATCCAACACCTGTAAATGTGTTAGAGTTGAACGCAGTGACAGATGCGGATATGTTTGGTTCAAAACGGATAAAACTTATTACGCCGCCATAAGCAGCTGGATAGATTCTAAAGGTTTCGTGCAAACGAATCTAGTTCTTAACTGGTTAAAAGGCGTGCTCAATAGAGCCCTTAATACGCTCAAAACTGACCATTATAGCAAAGCCAATGGTGGACCTAAATACCATTCCGAATCTGGTCCAGCCCTTACATTACGTCTTCAAGGCAAACATGGTCCTTCGTATGCCGAATATGGAATGATTTAGCCAGAAAAAGAAGAAAAAATCAGTAAAAAAGTCCAGCTAAAAACCCAAGGTCAGTCCATTCCATATTTTTCTGAAAGCTTGACGCTTTTTGATAGATAAATCCGAGGAGTACGTCAAGCTGAACTAAAACCGGATTTTTCAATAATAATAATTCGTTTGCAAGCTGTTTTGCCCCCTTTGGGGCCGATAACCATATTCCTCTAAATATTACGTATACTTACATATAACTTTACCTAATTTACCTACTCATTTCGAAAAATACTTATATCATCCTGCAATTTCGCAATCCTGAAACTTGTTTTGAATCATTCTCACCTAATATTATTTTTTAGAGTGCAATTGTGCCTACTGCGAATTTATCATCTACTCTATTGTAAAGTTCAAGCCAAAAATGGACCCTCCAGTACCCAATCCGATAATTGAAGCAAAATCAGAACTTGGATTTCTTGTTTATCGTCGTGGACAAATTAAAGCCACATTAACTCGTTTTGATACTTTTTTAGGAAAAATATCTGATCAAGATCTAGGCCTTCCTGAAAATTTCACCCAAATAAATGCGCGTATCGAAAGAATACAACAATCACTGTGTGATTTTGATCGTGTACAATCACGCATTGAACATATTTGTATTCAGCATGATTTTCCTGAAAAAGCAGATCAGGATGATGAACGTGCTGAATTTGAAGAACACTTTTTCAACAGTGTTTCCAGGGGAAAATTATCGCTAAAAAGAGGTACTGACCTTATGAACTTGGTAAGTCAGCCACAATCACTCGCAATTGATAATAACAAGTTTTCGCAAGACCAAAACCCTTATAATAAATTTCCTGTCAAATTACCTCCCATATCTTTACCTGAGTTCTCTGGTTCCTATGACGAATGGACACAATTCTATGAAACATTTGATTCACTTGTTGATAGTAATCCTTCTATAACAAATGTTCAAAAGTTTTATTATCTTAAGTCTGTTTTGACAGGTGATGCTTTTCAAACCATTAGTTCTCTCACTGCCACAGATGTTAACTATAGCATTGCTTGGGACTTGTTAAAAGAAAGATACCAAAACAAAAAAGCGATTATACATACTCATGTGAAATCCATATTCACACTTATCCCAATAAAAGATGACACTCACACTAACTTACGTAAATTTTTAGATACTTTTCAAAAGCACTTCCGTTCACTTGAAAAACTAGGAGAATCTGTTGCACATTGGGATACTTTGCTTATATATTTACTGACATCAAAATTAAATTCGGTTACACGTCAGCAATGGGAAATATTTTCCAAAAATGAAGATAGTCCTTCAGTGGCTGATTTCATTAACTTTATGACTGATCATTGTAGACTGCTAGAATCCATGGACTTGAAAAATTACACTGTCAAATCTGTATCAAATAACAAAGCTCTTTCACATTTTTCATCTGTAATCAATCAATGCCCCATGTGCGACGAAAAGCACTTTGTGTATGCTTGTAAAAAATTCAATAATTTACCCATAAATGCTCGATACAATGAAGCCAAACGCATGGCATTATGCACTAATTGCTTGCGATCTGGTCATTCTGCATCGGAGTGCAAATCAACTCATAGTTGCAGAATTTGCCAAAAAAGGCACCATTCATTGCTTCATAATAATTCCAAACCCCTTTTTCAGGCCAACAAGAGTCATCAATTTCTAGATAATTCTGGCAACCAACAACCCACTTCTTCACACTCAAAATTGCATGGATATTCTAATCCAACCCATATGCAACCCAATTCAACCCATATGCAACCCAATTCAAACTATAAGCAACCCTGTGTTTCAGCCCATACGCTTTCTGATTCTAGGCAGGGCATGAAAAATTCTAATAATAATTATTATTATGCCCTTAACAATAAGACGGCTCCTTCGCCAGTTTGTCAAGGATATAGTAATTTGAATTCTTCATTAATCAATCCAGAACCTCAACCAAGTATCAATACACCAAGTATTGTTGATAATCAAAATACACAACAACGCAGTAGCCACACTTTGGCATCATCTTCAGTCCAAATTGATAATATTCAACCATGCAATCAAGATGCAAATACTAGCTATAACTTGTCCTGCGCAAATTTTAATAAACCCAATCAGTATGTTTTATTAGCTACAGCTATGGTTTATGTATATGACAGAAATCAGATGCCTATTTTATGTAAAGCTCTTTTGGATGGAGGTTCTCAATCCAATTTCATTTCGCTTAATTTATTCAATAAATTAGGGCTCGATTCCGAAAAAATCAATATTCCAATATGCGGAATTAATCAAAAAACAAGCTTCATAACTAAACGTATTACCCTTAATGCTACATCCATTCACAAACAATATAATTTTAAAATGTCTTCTCTTGTTATTGAAAAAATAACCGAGCCTCTTCCTCAACGACGCGTTGATATTACTTCAATCAATATACCTGTAGATATTCAACTTGCTGATCCAAATTTTAACGAACCTTCAGACATTGATTTACTCCTAGGAGCTGGTCTATTTTATGAGATATTATGCTCAGGACAAATCAGACAAGGGAAAAATAATCCTATTTTTCAACAAACTAAACTTGGTTGGATAATTTCCGGTCCTATCCAATTGTTAAACCCAAATCACGATCATATTAATTGTTGTTTTAACCAGTTGATAACCAATAACGATTTATATGAGAAACTGGAAACTTTTTGGAAAATTGAAGAGCTCCCAGAAAATCCAAAAATTAAACTTTCTATAGAAGAACTTGAATGCGAATCAAATTTCCAAGAAACCCATGTCCGTCTACCGTCAGGCAGATTTCAAGTTGATCTGCCATTAAAGCAAAATTTTAATAAATTGGGAAATTCTAGCGAATTAGCCAAAAAGCGATTTTTAGCCATAGAGAGAAAGTTTGATAGAAATAGCGATTTTAAGATGGCTTATTCCGATTTCATTCATGAATACATTAATCTAGGTCATATGTCAAAAGTGGATCCCCACAAAGTACCTATTTACCCAGTTTTCTATCTCCCTCACCATGCTGTCGAAAAGGCTGATAGCCTAACGACAAAGCTAAGGGTTGTGTTTGACGCTTCTGCGAAATCATCATCTGGTTTATCGCTAAATGACGTACTCAAAGTCGGCCCTACAATTCAAAATGACCTTTTTTCTATTCTCATACGTTTTCGATGACACAATTTCGCGCTCACAGGCGATATTGCCAAAATGTACCGTCAAGTACTCATAAATCCTTCTCAAAGGAGTCTGCAGCGGATAGTTTGGCGAGATAACAGGGAAGACGAGCTTAGTCATTTCGAGTTAAATACTATAACATATGGCACATCCAGTGCTGCTTTTCTTTCAACTAGATGTCTAAAACAAATTACAACTGAATGCACTTCACAATTTCCCATAGAAAGTCAAATAATCTGCAATGACTGTTATGTTGATGACGTAATAACAGGCGCTAATTCTATCGATGAGCTTATAGTCATAAGACAGAACTTATCGTCCATCTTCAAGGATTACGGGTTTGAACTCAGAAAATTTGCTTCAAATAATCCTAATGTTTTATCAGGGCTATCTAATGACAATTCCACTGAATATGTAATAAACGATTCTCAATCAACCAAAATTTTAGGAATTTCTTGGAATTCAGAAAGTGATAATTTTATTTACAGCTCCAAAAACATATCCACAGAACAACCTGTTACAAAACGTTTTATACTCTCTACTATTTCTCAGATTTTTGATCCACTGGGTCTTCTGGGTCCAATAGTTGTTCAAGTAAAAATATTGCTTCAAAAGCTGTGGCTTTTGAAGATCGCCTGGGATGAACCCATACCTAATGATCTTTGTCGAGTTTGGATTCATTTTGTCCAGCAATTATCTGATGTGATTTCTTTGAAAATATCCAGACAAGTTACTTCAAAAAATCCAAAAAACATCCAAATACACGGATTCTGCGATTCTTCTATTAATGCCTATGGCGCATGCATTTATATAAGATGTGAGGATTTTCATGATAGTATAACTGTCAACTTACTTTCAGCAAAATCTCGTGTAGCCCCCCTTAAAGTGATATCTCTGCCTCGACTCGAATTATGTGGCGCATTATTGTTAACCAAATTAATTAAAAACATTTGTGCTATTTTGGACTTACCAATTAATCAAATTTTTTATTGGACGGATTCAACAATAGTGCTTTCTTGGCTTTGTTTGGAGCCTCGTTATTTAAAAACATTTGTGGGCAATAGGATATCAGAAATCCAATCACTTTCTGACATCAACAATTGGCACCATATTAAATCTTTCCACAACCCCGCTGATTTGATTTCCAGAGGTATTAATCCTCCCGAATTAAGAGTCAATAAACTATGGTGGCACGGCCCTGAATTCCTATCAAAATATTCTGAAGCGTGGCCTTCGAAAACTCACATTTCTAACTGGGCTCGTCAATGTAACGTATCCGAAATGCCGGAAGTTAATCCCAAATCTGTTATGTCATTCCTTGCAGGAAATCATTCAAATGATTTTGATGAAATATTTTATAAATTTTCTAGCTATAATAAACTTTTGCATGTAATAGCGTACTGTTTTGAGATTTTCGAAAAATAGCCGGTCTTTTACAAAACAACGAGCCGTCGGACCGCTGTGTCAAACCGAAATATCTGCCAGTCTAAAATCTATTGTAAAATTAGTGCAAGCGAAAGCATTTCCTGAAGATATTTATAATCTAAAATTCCGTAACTCTATAAAGGAAAACAGTAATTTAAGTTCATTAAACCCTTTTATTGACGACTTTGGCATTTTGCGAGTCGGAGGGCGTTTGAAAAATGCACAATTGAGTTTCGAACAGAAACATCCCATATTACTTCCTCATAACCATCCATTAACAAAATTGATCATTACTTATGACCACAATAGAAACTTGCACTCTGGAACCCATGCCACACTATCATTTGTTCGACAACAATTCTGGCCTTTAAATGGAAAATCCTTGGTAAAAAGGGTCATCAGGTCTTGTATTCCCTGCTTCAAGGCCAATCCCAAATCAATAATTGCACAAATGGGAGATTTACCAAGCTCAAGGGTCACTCCATTTCATCCCTTTTTCAACACTGGTGTAGATTACGCCGGTCCATTTTTGCTTAAAGATTCCAAGTTCAGAAATAAAAAAATTCTTAAATGCTATTTATGCATTTTTGTTTGTTTATCAACCAAGGCAATTCACTTAGAATTAGCTACTGAACTTAGTACTGCTTCTTTTATTTCTGCTTTAAAACGATTTACCGCTCGACGTGGTTTATGTCACAATCTCCATTCTGATAATGGCTCGAATTTTATAGGAGCAAAAAATGAGTTTGCTGCAATTTATGCTGTTCTTAAAGATAGCAAGTTTCAGGACTTTCTTATTCAGAATACAATTCAATGGCATTTTATACCTGCGCGATCACCCCATTTTGGAGGAATATGGGAATCGGCTGTAAGGTCTACCAAGCAGCATCTATAGCGAATCCTCAATGACGTTCCGCTCACCTTCGAAGAATTTTATACACTCCTGGTTCAAGTGGAATCGGTTTTAAATTCTCGACCATTAACCCCACTGACTGATGATCCCAATGATTTAGAAGTACTCACTCCGGGTCATTTTTTAATTGGCCGTCCGATAAATGCTGTACCCGAATTAGACATTTCCCAAGTACCCATGAATCACTTATCCAGATATGCGCATGTTCAAAAAATGACGTAAAGTTTCTGGACACGGTGGTCAACAGACTATCTACACACATTGCACCAGCGGAACAAATGGAAGTTTCATCAACATCAAAATGACCTGCTAGGTTCTCTAGTGCTCCTAAAAGAAGATGGTCTGCCTTCATTGCAATGGCATCGAGGGCGTATAGTGGACCTTCATCCAGGTAGTGACGGTGTGGTGAGAGTAGTTAGTGTTCTAACAAAAAACGGCGTCACTAAACGAGCCATTGTGAAAATATGTTTACTTCCGAAGGACGATTTAAATTATTGATTTTCTTGTTTTTTAATTATCTTTTTACCATTTATATTTTTATATACAACTCAATTTACCCAGTATCTGCAAATTTTATAATTAACTTTTCCCGTTTTATTGTATACCTATCTTTAATGTTAATGATATTGAAAGCATTCAGTTGGATACTTTCAAGGGCGGCGGTATGTTTGCATTTTTTTTAAATAATAAACAGCCTTTATCAAATTGAGTAGGCAGAATGAGAAACAATCGGAAAAATAATGCATAACAACCCGTTGTTGATAGAGTTGTCATTCAAGTTTTAAAAAAGTTAGTCACGATTTTTTAATTGTATAAAAATACCTACATAGATCAATCACTCAGAGCTGGGTCTATTCAATTAATAAACACTAGACGTAACATTGGTCCAAGTGTTTCCATTCAAGGATATCATCGCTGATATCCCGTAGCAGCACCGCCAAGCAGCGCAATACCGAGAAGGTACCTATTCTTCAAGGTTGCGACAAAATTGGGCACCCCGCCCTCGTTAAAATTTGGATCAGCAAGTTGAATATCTACAGGTATATTGATTGAAGTAATATCAACGCGTCGTTGAGGAAGAGGCTCGGTTATTTTTTCAATAACAAGAGAAGACATTTTAAAATAATAAGGCAAATAAGCTCAATAAAATATAAAATCGATTTTGCAAAGTTCAGGTTTTGCCGGATATTTCCATTAGATAGAAGTAAGCCCACCTACTACAATGTCTGCACAAAATAAAAAAACTCAAACTACTCCCAAACCCTCAAACCCTCCTAAAACTTCAAGTATTGCCAAAACTAAGCCCCCGACTAATCCAGATGTAGCCAAAGCCCAGAAGAAAATGGAAGAAGTCCTAATAACCATCAACAGAGATTTCATCAGTCTACAAGATGAAGAGTTGAAATACAATAACATACTGCTAAGATCAACTCTGGACAGTCTTATATTGATAATGCAAAAAGAAGATCCCCTTTTCAAAACCCTCTTCGAAAGACTATTTTACGGAGGAAGCTTCTACGACAACCTAAAAGTTCAAAATCCTAACGAATTTGATATTCATTTGCTCATGGTTTTGCCTTCATGCGAAATCCACAAATCCAACACCTGTAAATGTGTTAGAGTTGAACGCAGTGACAGATGCGGATATGTTTGGTTCAAAACGGATAAAACTTATTACGCCGCCATAAGCAGCTGGATAGATTCTAAAGGTTTCGTGCAAACGAATCTAGTTCTTAACTGGTTAAAAGGCGTGCTCAATAGAGCCCTTAATACGCTCAAAACTGACCATTATAGCAAAGCCAATGGTGGACCTAAATACCATTCCGAATCTGGTCCAGCCCTTACATTACGTCTTCAAGGCAAACATGGTCCTTCGTATGCCGAATATGGAATGATTTAGCCAGAAAAAGAAGAAAAAATCAGTAAAAAAGTCCAGCTAAAAACCCAAGGTCAGTCCATTCCATATTTTTCTGAAAGCTTGACGCTTTTTGATAGATAAATCCGAGGAGTACGTCAAGCTGAACTAAAACCGGATTTTTCAATAATAATAATTCGTTTGCAAGCTGTTTTGCCCCCTTTGGGGCCGATAACCATATTCCTCTAAATATTACGTATACTTACATATAACTTTACCTAATTTACCTACTCATTTCGAAAAATACTTATATCATCCTGCAATTTCGCAATCCTGAAACTTGTTTTGAATCATTCTCACCTAATATTATTTTTTAGAGTGCAATTGTGCCTACTGCGAATTTATCATCTACTCTATTGTAAAGTTCAAGCCAAAAATGGACCCTCCAGTACCCAATCCGATAATTGAAGCAAAATCAGAACTTGGATTTCTTGTTTATCGTCGTGGACAAATTAAAGCCACATTAACTCGTTTTGATACTTTTTTAGGAAAAATATCTGATCAAGATCTAGGCCTTCCTGAAAATTTCACCCAAATAAATGCGCGTATCGAAAGAATACAACAATCACTGTGTGATTTTGATCGTGTACAATCACGCATTGAACATATTTGTATTCAGCATGATTTTCCTGAAAAAGCAGATCAGGATGATGAACGTGCTGAATTTGAAGAACACTTTTTCAACAGTGTTTCCAGGGGAAAATTATCGCTAAAAAGAGGTACTGACCTTATGAACTTGGTAAGTCAGCCACAATCACTCGCAATTGATAATAACAAGTTTTCGCAAGACCAAAACCCTTATAATAAATTTCCTGTCAAATTACCTCCCATATCTTTACCTGAGTTCTCTGGTTCCTATGACGAATGGACACAATTCTATGAAACATTTGATTCACTTGTTGATAGTAATCCTTCTATAACAAATGTTCAAAAGTTTTATTATCTTAAGTCTGTTTTGACAGGTGATGCTTTTCAAACCATTAGTTCTCTCACTGCCACAGATGTTAACTATAGCATTGCTTGGGACTTGTTAAAAGAAAGATACCAAAACAAAAAAGCGATTATACATACTCATGTGAAATCCATATTCACACTTATCCCAATAAAAGATGACACTCACACTAACTTACGTAAATTTTTAGATACTTTTCAAAAGCACTTCCGTTCACTTGAAAAACTAGGAGAATCTGTTGCACATTGGGATACTTTGCTTATATATTTACTGACATCAAAATTAAATTCGGTTACACGTCAGCAATGGGAAATATTTTCCAAAAATGAAGATAGTCCTTCAGTGGCTGATTTCATTAACTTTATGACTGATCATTGTAGACTGCTAGAATCCATGGACTTGAAAAATTACACTGTCAAATCTGTATCAAATAACAAAGCTCTTTCACATTTTTCATCTGTAATCAATCAATGCCCCATGTGCGACGAAAAGCACTTTGTGTATGCTTGTAAAAAATTCAATAATTTACCCATAAATGCTCGATACAATGAAGCCAAACGCATGGCATTATGCACTAATTGCTTGCGATCTGGTCATTCTGCATCGGAGTGCAAATCAACTCATAGTTGCAGAATTTGCCAAAAAAGGCACCATTCATTGCTTCATAATAATTCCAAACCCCTTTTTCAGGCCAACAAGAGTCATCAATTTCTAGATAATTCTGGCAACCAACAACCCACTTCTTCACACTCAAAATTGCATGGATATTCTAATCCAACCCATATGCAACCCAATTCAACCCATATGCAACCCAATTCAAACTATAAGCAACCCTGTGTTTCAGCCCATACGCTTTCTGATTCTAGGCAGGGCATGAAAAATTCTAATAATAATTATTATTATGCCCTTAACAATAAGACGGCTCCTTCGCCAGTTTGTCAAGGATATAGTAATTTGAATTCTTCATTAATCAATCCAGAACCTCAACCAAGTATCAATACACCAAGTATTGTTGATAATCAAAATACACAACAACGCAGTAGCCACACTTTGGCATCATCTTCAGTCCAAATTGATAATATTCAACCATGCAATCAAGATGCAAATACTAGCTATAACTTGTCCTGCGCAAATTTTAATAAACCCAATCAGTATGTTTTATTAGCTACAGCTATGGTTTATGTATATGACAGAAATCAGATGCCTATTTTATGTAAAGCTCTTTTGGATGGAGGTTCTCAATCCAATTTCATTTCGCTTAATTTATTCAATAAATTAGGACTCGATTCCGAAAAAATCAATATTCCAATATGCGGAATTAATCAAAAAACAAGCTTCATAACTAAACGTATTACCCTTAATGCTACATCCATTCACAAACAATATAATTTTAAAATGTCTTCTCTTGTTATTGAAAAAATAACCGAGCCTCTTCCTCAACGACGCGTTGATATTACTTCAATCAATATACCTGTAGATATTCAACTTGCTGATCCAAATTTTAACGAACCTTCAGACATTGATTTACTCCTAGGAGCTGGTCTATTTTATGAGATATTATGCTCAGGACAAATCAGGCAAGGGAAAAATAATCCTACTTTTCAACAAACTAAACTTGGTTGGATAATTTCCGGTCCTATCCAATTGTTAAACCCAAATCACGATCATATTAATTGTTGTTTTAACCAGTTGATAACCAATAACGATTTATATGAGAAACTGGAAACTTTTTGGAAAATTGAACAGCCCCCAGAAAATCCAAAAATTAAACTTTCTATAGAAGAACTTGAATGCGATTCAAATTTCCAAGAAACCTATGTCCGTCTACCGTCAGGCAGATTTCAAGTTGATCTGCCATTAAAGCAAAATTTTAATAAATTGGGAAATTCTAGCGAATTAGCCAAAAAGCGATTTTTAGCCATAGAGAGAAAGTTTGATAGAAATAGCGATTTTAAGATGGCTTATTCCGATTTCATTCATGAATACATTAATCTAGGTCATATGTCAAAAGTGGATCCCCACAAAGTACCTATTTACCCAGTTTTCTATCTCCCTCACCATGCTGTCGAAAAGGCTGATAGCCTAACGACAAAGCTAAGGGTTGTGTTTGACGCTTCTGCGAAATCATCATCTGGTTTATCGCTAAATGACGTACTCAAAGTCGGTCCTACAATTCAAAATGACCTTTTTTCTATTCTCATACGTTTTCGACGACACAATTTCGCGCTCACAGGCGATATTGCCAAAATGTACCGTCAAGTACTCATAAATCCTTTTCAAAGGAGTCTGCAGCGGATAGTTTGGCGAGATAACAGGGAAGACGAGCTTAGTCATTTCGAGTTAAGTACTATAACATATGGCACATCCAGTGCTGCTTTTCTTTCAACTAGATGTCTAAAACAAATTACAACTGAATGCACTTCACAATTTCCCATAGAAAGTCAAATAATCTGCAATGACTGTTATGTTGATGACGTAATAACAGGCGCTAATTCTATCGATGAGCTTATAGTCATAAGACAGAACTTATCGTCCATCTTCAAGGATTACGGGTTTGAACTCAGAAAATTTGCTTCAAATAATCCTAATGTTTTATCAGGGCTATCTAATGACAATTCCACTGAATATGTAATAAACGATTCTCAATCAACCAAAATTTTAGGAATTTCTTGGAATTCAGAAAGTGATAATTTTATTTACAGCTCCAAAAACATATCCACAGAACAACCTGTTACAAAACGTTTTATACTCTCTACTATTTCTCAGATTTTTGATCCACTGGGTCTTCTGGGTCCAATAGTTGTTCAAGTAAAAATATTGCTTCAAAAGCTGTGGCTTTTGAAGATCGCCTGGGATGAACCCATACCTAATGATCTTTGTCGAGTTTGGATTCATTTTGTCCAGCAATTATCTGATGTGATTTCTTTGAAAATATCCAGACAAGTTACTTCAAAAAATCCAAAAAACATCCAAATACACGGATTCTGCGATTCTTCTATTAATGCCTATGGCGCATGCATTTATATAAGATGTGAGGATTTTCATGATAGTATAACTGTCAACTTACTTTCAGCAAAATCTCGTGTAGCCCCCCTTAAAGTGATATCTCTGCCTCGACTCGAATTATGTGGCGCATTATTGTTAACCAAATTAATTAAAAACATTTGTGCTATTTTGGACTTACCAATTAATCAAATTTTTTATTGGACGGATTCAACAATAGTGCTTTCTTGGCTTTGTTTGGAGCCTCGTTATTTAAAAACCTTTGTGGGCAATAGGATATCAGAAATCCAATCACTTTCTGACATCAACAATTGGCACCATATTAAATCTTCCCACAACCCCGCTGATTTGATTTCCAGAGGTATTAATCCTCCCGAATTAAGAGTCAATAAACTATGGTGGCACGGCCCTGAATTCCTATCAAAATACTCTGAAGCGTGGCCTTCGAAAACTCACATTTCTAACTGGGCTCGTCAATGTAACGTATCCGAAATGCCGGAAGTTAATCCCAAATCTGTTATGTCATTCCTTGCAGGAAATCATTCAAATGATTTTGATGAAATATTTTATAAATTTTCTAGCTATAATAAACTTTTGCATGTAATAGCGTACTGTTTGAGATTTTCGAAAAATAGCCGGTCTTTTACAAAACAACGAGCCGTCGGACCGCTGTGTCAAACCGAAATATCTGCCAGTCTAAAATCTATTGTAAAATCAGTGCAAGCGAAAGCATTTCCTGAAGATATTTATAATCTAAAATTCCGTAACTCTATAAAGAAAAACAGTAATTTAAGTTCATTAAACCCTTTTATTGACGACTTTGGCATTTTGCGAGTCGGAGGGCGTTTGAAAAATGCACCATTGAGTTTC